CGATAGAAAGATATTCCTTATTTCCTATGATGAGCTCCAGTTCCGGATTAGATTACCTGCTAAGGGTTTTGCATTGATTCATTTGTTTCACTTGCCATCTGTAATTTATTATGGCTACTGATATCAAATGAACATGTCAGGACTTGGAGCACTATGTGCATTACAGAAGTTTTTTGTTCATCTTCATACAGTAATTCTAAATTTACCAAATGTAAGGGTGCAATGATTTGTCATTGCAGGAACCTGATCATATAACAACGAAGAAAATGCTTACTGATAGCTGTTGAAAAGATCTGTGCAGGTGCCGTTGTTTTTGCAAGGCTCTGGGTTACATTCATTGGATTCATATTCGCAAAATGTTCCTTCCCACCCTGGCAGGCATACACACTGGTAGCTCTGTAATGAATTATAAAAAATAAATCATTGCTGTCAATTTTTGTCTTTTCGAGGACATTTGTACAGGTGCTTTTGCTGGTTGGTGTTTTCTTTGTCTTTGAAGAAGTATTCAAGTCTGTTTCCTCATTTTAAAAGTTGAAAGCCTCAGAAACAAATTGACAGTTTTGCTGAATAATATGCTGAAAAAGATTATATGACATAAATGCTATACTAGGTAAGAAAACATCTTTTGTTGTATAATAGCATACATTTGTAATCAAGGGGAATTAAATAGTATTAAATAATAACAAAAATAAACATGAAGGAATATGTAAGAAACAAACATTTGTCTAAAAATATCATTTACACATTTTTAAAAGACAGGACAGTTTAATCATTTTATAGCCAGTTATATCACCGTATCCCATCTATATATGATGCTTCAGGGAAAAGTCTTAAACTAAGAATCAAAACAAAGCATATTTTTGTTGTCTATATCATATCTAAAGAGAAAAGCTTGAGAACATCTGTTGAATGAATATTAATTATGGATGGGCTGCAGTGCAAACACTTCTACTCACCAGGGGCTTAATTCACTTGTTTTGATAACATGTTCCCTTCTAGCAAAAAACACTTCTTTCTACCCAAAGTTAGGAAACATTTTCAGGATAAACATGAACAGTGCAAATTATTTCAGTGCTCCCTAAACAGCATGTTGGGATTTAGGAGAAGATTTTTAACCATATTTAAATCCATGTATAATCATGTCCATTAATACATCAAAAATCATAAAACATTAAGATGTTTCAGGTAAATTTATCAAACCTGAATGTCTAAAATGAGCTTTTAAAGTCTGAATATGAGAAGTATGGTCCATATTCACCAATATTGTTGAAAACCATGGTGGCCACATAGGTAATTGTTTTGAAAATCATGTCACTTGTAATGTTATTTTACTTATTATTTTGTATAAATATATAGTTGAGTCTAATTGAGGCACCTCAGTGTTAAAGGGTGAGACTTTACACTTGTGTGTGTGTGGTTATGTTTATAAATCATAAAGCAATAAAGCATATATAAGCATCATAAAGGAATAATAAAACAAGTTGGAGCATCATGTCACAACAAAAATTATCCATATTGACTTATGAGAAATACCTATAAGAAAGCAGGAAATAGTGCTGAAAAGCAACCTCTGCAGCTGGATGAGGGCAGGAAATTTGGGAAATTGTGTAGCAGATGAACAAAAATTTGGACCTGTATAAAGATGTTGTGACTGCTATGCTTCTGACCCTATGCAGTGGGAACCCAAAAATGTGAGTCTTGAAAAGTGAAAGGAAAATTAAGCAACCATTGCTATTAGACAGCCTCATCCTGCCACTGAGTTTAAGAAAGTTTTAAACAAGAGTGCGGGGCTGCTTAATAGCAGTGTGATACAGCACAGGAGTAGGCAACCACTGGCATGGGTGCCAGAGTGTGGCAGGCACAGGCATTTTGCTTGGTGCATGTGCCTCTGGGCAGGCAGCAGGGAAGAGGCTGGTGCTACACTGCCACAGTGAGGATCAGGCCCCTCATGGCTTCCCCGCCATCTGCCCTGGCATACTAACATCTTACATATCCAGGTTGCACGTGTTTTTCGCACTGCGCCTGAAAACTTTGCTTGACCCCTGGTATAGCATCTGCTTGCATTCTATTGACCAAAGTTTGGGTAAGAGAAGAAAAGTCAAAGGAAATAAGCAAACAAGAGAATGTAAGAAGTGAGAATAATTTAAAGATATTCTAGAATGACAGGTTAAAAAAAAAGTAAAAGGTTGCTCAGAGAATATTTAGTGACTTTATGCCAGTTAGATCTGGGTTAGGACAAGATATAGCTTAAATGGGGGATAAAAATAGGCATATGATAATTAGAGTAGAACCTATTTGGAACATTGTTTTAAATGTTGGCTTTATTTAGTAAACTTTTTTTATACTGATTCAGGCAATAGAGTATAACTTTCTCTGTTTACCTCAGAATATTTGCTCTTCAGCCTTGAACTACAGTTCTGCTGAATAGCTTATCTACAGATAAATCAAGATAAGGATGCTTTTAAAACCCAGTTTAAACCTAGATAAGAAGTCCTTTTCCTTAACAGGCTGGCCGTCTTTAAGACTCTGAAAGACTTTAGGGTTTAAAAAGTTTTTTTTTTTTAGTATTTCAAACGTTAAGAAGATTGTTATATGTTTAAATGAATGCACATTTTATCTTTTTTAATAATTTCCTTGGTATGCTTTACCTGTTTGGTGATTTATATCTTATCTGTATTTTATTATTATATTTGCTATTAAAATGTAACTACACGCATGTTTGAGTGTCTAATGTTGGTGGAACTGGCTTTCCGAACCTTTGGAGATCAACAGGCACTCAGGGGGTTAACAAGAGGAACGAAAGAAATTAAATGCCCCTTGGCACCCTGCCATTTGGTTTACATCCAGATCCACTCTTCTGAATGGGCTGGGGACATTCTGTGTTTGTGGCCAGTTATGAAAAAAAAGAAATTACCATTGTGCCCCCCTCCCTTTAAATATATTCTATTATATTTTGGCAGTTTGCTGCCTCTGTGCTACTAAACAGGACACATTTTGCTTGTAACAAAAAAGACCCTGCATTCTAAGAACGGGGTGCAAACTTGTCAGCCAATGTTAGAGAAGCAAGTAGTAGCAGAAGAGTTACAGTAGATTGAGATAAATGTACAGACAAAGAAGTGATCATGGAATGGAAATGCCTTTTTTTATAGTGAGGGAGAAACTGCTAGACTGGGAGACCATTAAAGAGACAGACAACTTTCAGGGAACTGTGCAACAAGAAACTAAACAAAACAAAAAACCTAACAATTTTGGTACAGTCTTCACTACCACCTATCCCACATGTAAGTATCTTCCATTATATTTAAAATTAAATTTAATATCCAACTGGCTTTTTAAATATTTTAATGCTTTTATTGCATTGGAGCTGTTAATGTTATTGTTTGTGAAAAATGTCTCCCATCTCCACAGAATGTTCCAAACAGACGGATTCAGAGTACCAAAAATATTAGAGAAACAAAAACACTAAAAAACCTGTTAAAGACTTGTGAAAAGTTATACAATTTCTCAGTTTAAGTCTACACGTACTCCAGGCACTGGAGACAATAACTTTTTCAGTATTCAATCAGCTAGTCCAAAATAGGTTATATAGACTATCCAACATGCTATGGAGCAACCGGGAAGCAACATTTAAGAAACAGCGATAATTCTCACTTCTTAGTCATTCTTAAAAAATATGGTAGCTCTTAATTTTGACCTGTCATTGAAAATTTTTGCTTGGGTATTTTATTCCTAACTATGGTATTAACATAGCACAAAAAGAAAAAAAAAATGTATCATAGCAATACAACTTCAGCTCTTGGAAAACAGAGTACAAAAAAAAAATAGCTGGCACTTTCGACTTTTATGTCTCTGTGCCTCAGTTCTCCAGATGAGACCCAGAGATTACAGCCAAAAGTGTCAGCTAATTGTATAGGCTTGATTTTTCAGAGTGCTACTTCACAGTCTAATAGCACTTTTTATATCCAATGCACACCTCAAATCAACTTCAATTGCAGCTGTAACTGTACAGCAGTTTTACAAATCAGACCCCATATGCCTCATAAAGGGCATCCAGAAAATCGGGAACATCTATTTAGTACACTGCTGTGAAAATGTAGGTTTATCTGACTTGCCCAGGATAATACAAAAACTCTGTGGCAGAGGCTGGAATAGGATCTAATAATCTTCCAGGGCAGCCTTCAAATTCTCTAACCGTAAGATCATCCCTTCTCTTCTTTCAGTCCTCTCCCTCATTCAGTATTCAACTTGAAGCTTCTTCAACAATTGAGACAGGGTCCTGCAGACAATGGCTTCCTGCACTAAAAAGCCTTGCTCTATCCAGGGATCCTATATAGAAAAAATACAATACGTATGTGATAATTCTATATTGTATCATACTACTATTTATAAAGGGGCAAATTAAGGTTACATGCACAACCTTAATTCTGTCCTTTCCTAATTTAAGGATGTTTAACATTGCAGTTTGCAGTGTTAGAACTCAACCCTGTTTCACCTTTACCCGCCTAAATGGCACTTCCGTAGCTGCATACCTGCAGTTTTTTGTTTGTTTGTTAAGTAGCTTTTAGATTCTATTTCTATCTGTGGCAAAACATGGTCATTCAGATATATGCAGACCTATGGGAAATACAACAATGGAGAAGGTCAAGGACATTTTAGGACAGCACCTCATGGAGGCACACTTTTTTGGATTGTTTTCTTCCTCCTAGTTGCTCATATCTCCCCTTTCTGGCTGCCCAGTGAGTCAAGTTCCAGAGAAGAGCTGCAAAGTGCTTAGTGTAATGTCTAGTCCATGGCCTAGTGGTTAGAGAGGCAAATAGCTATATTAGTCTCAAGTTATGCAGGATAGATCTGCAGCTTATAGATGAACTAAATCAGGTATACGTAGCATAAGCTTTTGTAAGCAGTAGGTTACTTGTATTTAATGAAGTAAATTTATCCTGCCTTTTGCCTGTGGTTAGAGTCTTTTGCTAGGCAGTGTGAGATTCATGGTGTCTCTGTTAGAGGGATGGTTAGAATCTGGGTCTCCTGCCCCAGGAAAAGTAAAATAAACAGTAGACAATTGAGCTAAAAGGTAGGAGGACCTTTCTTTCATCCCTTCTGCCAGCAAGTCAGTTTTGTACAATTATACTTTCAGGATTTGACAGCTTTGTGTGTATGCTGCGGTGATTTTATTTTTTTCCAAAGCCTACACAGCCAAAGTGGAGTCTTCTGAGCATGTTCAAAAAAGAAAGCACAGGGGAAGCATAATTATTCAAGTGATAATAGAATCCAAACTGTGCATAAGTGCCATAAATTGCTATTAGGCAGTCATAGAAGTGCCACTTAAGTGAGAAAAAGTGAAAAAGTATTTAGCCTTTGGTGTTCTTTTTCTGCTCCTTTTACTTTTGCCGGTTTCTGGGCCAATTTACTCCTTTCTGCCCCATGCCAGACAGTTCCTATTTTGCTCCTGCCTTACTCATCCCATGCAGCACCTTTCCTACCTCTGCTCCTGCATAACCTCCTTCCTTCATTTTTTTCCCGCCTGCAGTCAACAATGATTGGGTCTTTATCCTACCTTTTCAGAAAAACAGGAAGATGCATGAAATCATATTACCTAGCTGAAAGTTCGGAGCCAGACTGCAGTTAGAGTGGTTGGTACCTTGCCCATCTCTCATGACTTTGTGAATATCATTGCCAGTCTCTGAAATGCCTCCCAGGTCCTTCAGTACCTTGGGATGAAATTCATCTGGCCATGCAAAAGCTCTCTGACTGTCTCTCATAATTTCATCTCTCAGCTTGTCCTCTTCCTTATCTAGATAATTCTTATGAGGTGGCTAGTTGCTGCTTAACTTATTTTGTGAAGACTGAGGTAAAATAGCTGTTGAGTAGTTCTGCTTCTTTGTATCTTCTATTAAGAGTTCCTCCTGGCTAGTTAAAGAGTAGACCCACAGGTTCCTTGGTCTTTCTCTTCTGCCCAGTATACTTATATAACGTCTTCCAGTTGTCTTGGACCTTCCTTGCCAGGTGCAGCTCATTTTTTACCTTTGCCTTCCTTACTTTTTCACCACAGGTTCTTGCTATTTCCTGGTATGCTTCCTTGGTGATCTTCCCATTTTTGATTGCCTATGTGCTTTCCTTTTGATTTGAGCATTCCTAGAAACTCCTTGTTTAGTCACATTGGTGTCTTGTTATTCTTTTTGTGCTTCCATCATGTCAGACCAGTTTCTTGTTGGGCTTCCTATTCTGTGCTCTTTAGAAGCTCCCGGCACTTCTGGGTGCTTTTATGCATCAGTCCGTTTTCCTATGGCACCATGCTTATTAACTCTTTGAGTCAGGTGAAATTCTCCCTTTTGAAATACAGGATCCTAGTTTTGCTGACCTCTTGCTTTCCCCATCTCAGGATCTGGAATTTTATCATATCATGATTGCTTTTTCCCAAGGTGCCCATCACCTTCACATCCTTCATCAGTTTTTCCTTACTGGTCAGGACAAGATTCAAGAGAGATGATCCCTTACTTGTACCTGCCATCTTCTGCAAGAGAAAGTTATCCTCCACATAAGTTAGGAACTAAGTATTTTATATTTGACTGTATTGTTCTACTAGCAAATGTCTGGAAAGTTGAAGTTTCTCATCTTCACCCTCCCATAGCTTTTGAATAGATTTGTCACCTCTTTTTACTAATTTGTTAGCTTATAATAAATCCCTACTGTTATATTGGTGCTGCATTTTTCATTTTTTATCTTCACCCAAATGCATTCTGCTGTACTATCATCTTTCTTCTGAACCAGGGAACAAGTATATGTGTTTTTGACATACAAGGTGACACCACCACCTTTTCTCCCAATCCTGACCTTCCAAAACAAAGTGTAAACCTCAGTGTTGACATCCAGTTATAAGACTTGTCCCACCAGATCTTTGTAATACTAATCAGGTCATAGCTCTTTTCACAGGCAGCAGCGTCCAGCTCATTTTGTTTATTCCCCACACTTTTCACATTTTTATACATATACTGGATATATTTTGCATTTTGACCTACTTGCTTCACTTTTGCACCATTTGTTGCTGTCCTGTGGTTCTCTGGCTG